TGGGGGTGGCCAGCAGGGGGACGGGAGCTGCAGGGGGAACCGAGATACTTACTGCTTGCTTCCAGCTGCCATTCACCCCTCCCCCAGGTATGTGCTGCATGCTCGTCTGAGGAACGGCCTGGCACTTAAAGGGCCAGTTTCTCTTTTGCTTTTGCTTTTCCCAGCGTCAGAAATTTGCCGGTCTCTACAGGTTTCCGAATAGCACTGGTTTTACTATATTGAGAAGGGGATAATATAGAGTACGAGGAGCAGAACATCTTGGCAAACCAAGGTCAGATATGCAAAGGTAGAAGACACATGGACACTAGAAATGTAAAAACTAACCAAACAGGATAACTGGTTAAATTGTATGTTTAACCAGTGAATGGATTAAACAGGTGCTTGCGGAGAGTAGAGGGGAAACTCCAGCACAACTGGACTAGAGAGGTGGGCTCTGCGGGGCTGAGCAGCCCCCACCGGTGAACCCTAACTGGTATGCCTCACCCATTAAGGTTAACTGTTCACACCCCTAATTGACACTGGAGTTTTATTTATATTAGGAACATTGACCTAAACAATTTTTTTAAAACCCCCAGACTATAAAAATGTAATGTTCTGATATCATATAAAGCTAACTATGGTAGAAAGCAGGTGGTAACTACACAGCTAATTGGCATCTGCAGCCTGCCCTTGTTCTGGCACTCACTGCTAACGTCTGAGTGCTGTTAGTCTGTAGAGTTACCAGTCATGAACTGCATTCTTTAAAAATGTATTTGCAATTTCCTTTCTTTAGAATATAAAGGAGAAGCTGCATTGCTTTAATGATGGGCCATTTAAAGAATGCAGTGGGCCACATTTCCCCCTCCGTTACAGTAGTGTAGTTCTGATTATTGCAGTGGGGTTGTACCAGTGTAAGTGGGAGAAGAATTTGACACATTATGTCTGTGTAGAAGTAAAATAGTAATTAGTCATGAAAAGGAAGGGTTGAGAGGGAAGCTCTCTTGTCTACATATATTTTTAATACTATAATTTTATAGTGGAGTGGTGGTTGAATCGTGTGTAAACAAAATGTTTGCATAAAGCCAAGTGTACAGTTGTATGAACAGGAATTAAGAATTCAGACCACATCTATAGAATGAGGGACTATTTCCTGAAAAGCAGTGTCTCAAAAACAGGATTTTAGGGGTCATCGTGAGCAAGCTGCTAAACCTGAGTTCCTAGTGTGATGCTGTGGCGAGAAGTTTAGGATGTTGAAACGAGGGAATGTTGAGCAACAGTAGGGAGGTGATTTTACCTCTGCAACTGAAATTGGTCAGACTAATTCTGGAATACAGTGTCAATCTCTCTTGTCCACACTTGAAAAATTGGACAAGGTGCAGAAAAGATCCTCAAAAAGGATTTGCAGGCTGGAGAAAATGCTATAGTGAGATTTATAGTTCAGTCTGTTAGGCTCAATGAGTCACCAGGCCCATGTGCAAGATATTTGTGGGGGAGAGGGTCTCCATGCAGGAAGGGGTGGAATCTTGGGCAGAAGGGGCAGAGGTGGGGTTGGTTTCCTCAGGTAGCCTCAGAACTGCCTGTCGCATGCCACAGCTCCCCCAGGCAGCCCTCAGTAGCAGCAGCAGTGGCCGGAGTCCCAGGCCCTTTTGAATCACCCTCTTTGCCCCCATCTGTCACCAGGCCTGGTTAGGCTTATCATAAAGACTGGGGCAACTTGATTACAGTACATGGGGCACAAAAATACTGATATTAATGGGCTCTTTAATCTAGTGGAGAAAGACATAACCACAACAAATGTCTGGAAGCTTAAGCAAGACAAATTCAAATTAGAAATAAGGCACAAAGCTGTAACAGGGCAATTAGCTGCTGTAACAAACTACTAAAAGTAGTAATGTGCTCAAATCATGATGGGATCTCTTTCTGGAAGATTTGCTTTACTCAAACCCACGTTATTAGGCTCAATAAAGGAGTAACTAAGTACAATTTAATGGCTTGTCACATACGTTAGGTCAGACTAATGATGTAATGGTACCTTCTGACCTTAAGTTGATAATTAAAAATTGGGTGTGTCCCTTTTTGTTTCTTGACAACTTTTTTAAAAAAGTGAGTGGACTAAAATAAAACATTTGACATAAAGGGTTCATTTTCACATGTCCATATAAAAATCAGAGTTAAATCACGATGCCATTTAAGGAGGAAGCAGAGGACAACAGAAACCTGAGGGATGTTCACAGGTGTTTATCAGGTCTGGGGGCAAGAGGAGGAATTAATTACATGATCTAGTGTTCCAAGCAACAATTCAGAAATCTATATAGAAAAGCTAAGATCTGAACAAAGGCACCAGATATTTTCCTAGTTTTCCAGACTTGGTGCATCAGCGTTTCATTAGTTTTGCATTGAGCTACTTCCTTTCTGTATTCTGAGTAGATGAGTTGAACATTTTCTAATTTTAAATTTTTAATATGAGAAATCCAATTTTTCAGCCCATTTTAATTTTTTATTTCTGTGGCCAGGTTGAAAATTGTAGCTTAAAGTAAAGAGGGTCTTCGTAGATTAACACAAAGTTATAGAAGAATAGACGCGTTGTATTATTCAAGAAATGTTTCGATTATTACATCTTGCAAAATTCTTCATCAAATAAACTGATTCATTAGGCACAATAATTGCACACTAAATGTGATTCACTTTTTCAGGTGTCACCAAAACATCTGTGAATAGATTTTGTTTTGTTCTGTTTTGTTTTGTTTTTTTGGTGTTGTATAAAAGGATGCACTTCTGAGCCATTCTTTGAGCCTGCTTGCTGGCATAAAGAATTCCTATCATTATGCCAAATAGTTAATTGACAACAAGTTGCCAAGAATAAATAAGCTTGTTGATCTCCACTGCATATGTACATATGATGTGAGATGAGGTATTAAATAGGCATCTGTATAAGTGAATAACCTTGTACCCATTTTCATGTCATACATTAAAATTACATTTTAAACAAATATGATCTCTTCTCCACTTATGAGTACAAGGGATGCTGACAGGTATTTAGCAGGGCTGTGGGCAAGAGGTGAGTAGCCAAGTCTAGGGCACTGAATGAGTGGCATAATGATTACTCTCTCCTGTCTCAGTCTGTCACTTGCTGGTTGATGTACCATGGTTTATAATGACACGTTTGAAGGAAAGGCCTCTAAACTGACTTGTAGGTTTTATTGCTTATGATGCTTGTGTTTTAGATACACTTTCTGTTTGGGAGGAACAGTGAAAATAATAGTTTATTTTTATTTATTGTATTTGTGCCATCATTAGATTAGCATCATTTTTTAATGTGGTTGCTAAATTGGGGCTGTCTAAATTTGAGCTGCCTCATGGAACTGAGAAGAAACAAGGAAAAGGGATATGGAACTTCCTGGGAAAAAAAGTTTTCCCTCTTCTGGCATCTGCTGAAATGATACCTTGGAATGAAGAACTATCATAATGAGTGTCTGTATAAGAAGGTGATGGCTGCAAACAGACTCAGAACTATGACAGGACTTTGGAAGCAGGCTCACCATCATATATTACTGGAAGAAGCTGCAGGAGGCTGGAAAGAAACCTTAGGTTTCCTCTGGGAAAAATTACCACATTGCACTTAGAGAGCTCACTTTATATTAAATTCCTAGCCAGCCTAAAGAACTGAAAGAGCTATTATTATGTATTGTGATAAAATTTTATATTTCAGCTTAGCAATTCATTTGTTTAATTGATGGGACGTTACTTGAGTTCATAAATCTTCAATACAACTGATGCTCACTGATTCTGCTTTGAGGATTTGTATTCTTCCAAACTCACTACCAGAACATGCACAAAGAAATTATAAACAAAAAAAAATCATTGGTGATTTGATGGTAGGCCTGCAAAATGTACTTGTACTCTAGCTGCCACAACGCTCTTTTGTACATGAGGCTGTGGGGGCAATTACGGTTAGTCTCTAAGGGCATGTCTAGACTGCCCACAGATTTTGAAAGAAAATATGCAAATTTATGCCAAATTTACATATCTTCTTCCAATCCCATTTTTTGGAAGAGTTTTTTGAAAAAAAAAAAAAAAAAGGCAGTCTGGATGCGGTTATTTTTAACCCTTTTTCAAAAGAACCCTTCTTCCTAAAAAAAATGACATGTACAAGGTTCTTTCGAAAAGGGTTTTTTTTCCCCCCGAAAGAACCACATCTAGACAGCTTTTTTTTTTCTGAAAAAATTCTCCCAAAAACCGGATTGGAAGAAAATATGCAAATTCGTGCCGTAAGCTTGGACAAATACCTTATGTTCTGATAGTTTTTTCCTAGAAGATTTCTCAGATAGCTGCGTAGTTTCAGAATACCACTTTCCTGCGGTGTCCTGTAGTATTAGAGTCATTGGTAAGTATTGTTTGTACCAGCTCAAAGGTCCATTGAATGCAAACAAATTATATTTTAAAAATATTTTGAATGTTACAGTGTTAAACGTTTTTTGACATGGAAGTTTGGTGCATTTATAGGTGGAACATGTAGCAACACACATTATTAAGGGTTGTCAAGCATTCACTTTCTGCGTTCTAAGGGGACTGTTTTGCTTAAACTGTTTTCTTTTGAGTTGGAGTTTTTCCTTGCCCACTGGTAATTTTTTTAAAGTAATTTTCATGAAAATTGTAGTTATGTCTTGGATATGAAAAAGCGGAAGAGGTGGCTTGAAGGAAACCCTTTTGTTGTTTATAAACAGTATTTAGCGGTTGTTTTGAACTGCTCCAGCAGCTCAGGTGGGTTGGGATTCAGGTTCCTACCACATATGAAGCCAACACAGGAGACATGGGGGCAGGAAGAATTCCAGAAATGACACTTCCTTTTGCCCTGCAAGATCCTGGCTGCTCTTTTTGCTTCTTTGGGATATTGACAGCTGTTGTATGGTAGAGCTGCCTGGTGGCTGCTCTGATTTACCGCTAGAAACTAGGTTCTGGTAAAACCTCTAAGGTTTTACTGTAACTGACTTTGTTACTCTGCAAAAGTGTTTCATTTTCCAGGTAGAAGTAGGTATGTGGTTTTAAAAACTGATTATTCCTGGTTTTGTTCACTAGTATTGAACAATTTCATGTCGTTTTAAGAATTTAGGACTGTGTTTTCAAACATCTATTCCGGTGAATCCATTCAGGTGAAGTTGCCATAGTCATGTAGTCATAACTCTTGGCAGAGATTTGGTGGCCTCTGTGAAATTCATTTGTGGTCTTAACCCAGTTCCTATCACATACACATATTCTTCAGCAAGACTACATCACAGTAGTTTTCCATGTTGTCAATGTTGGAAGAAGTATTAATGATTTGAATGGATATGGAAACTGAATTATGTACTTGCATATCCCTGTCATTCTTGTAGGTCAGTGGTTTGGGCAGGTGGTATAACTGGGCTACTCAACACATGGCCTGTGGCCCGCATGAGGCCGGCAGTCCATGGTGCAGTTTGGGTTTAAGTGGGGCTCAATACGTGGCCCCTGGGTAGGATCCTTTGAACATGGCCTCCACTGGGAACACACTCCACAACAGTGAGATGTCTCCCAGGCAGGGTGAGTATTGAAAGATGCAAGTGGACAGGCTGCGTGGAACAGATGGGTACATGGTAGGGATGTAATAGTCTAGTTGATTAACCAATAAGCAAAAGCTTACCAGTTAATGCTATAGACTACATGCATTCCCCCCCCCCAGCCCCTTTTCCCCCCCAGCATGGCTCAGTCTCAGCTTGCACTGGGTCTGGGACCTACCCCCACTGCAGCTCTGCATTTAAAGTGTTTTAGGAGCCAGGCGAGCAGGCAGCCCAGCTCAGTTCCAGTTTGCGCTGGGTCCAGGAGTTCAGGCCCCACCCCCAGACAGGGGCTGCTGCAATGCGGGGTGACAGGCAGCTGATCCATGAGGGGAGCTGGATTTTAAACTGGCTCTCCTCATGGACCAGCTCCTGCCTGGCACCCTGCACTGCTGACTCTGGTAGAGAGGCAGCAGGACAGGGGGGCAGGGGGCTCCTGGGAGTTGGGACTACAGCACACTGGCTGCCAGCCCTGCCCCCTGGGACTATAGAATAGTCGACTAACCGATAAGAATTGATGAGGTTAATTGACTATTCAGTTAACTGATATTTAACATCCAGGGTGTTGGTGTTTCTAGCCCCCAGGGAGGAGGTACTGGGAGTGCCGGGCTATTGTGGAAAGTGCTGGTTGCTTAGCCTTGTGGGCAGAACCTGAGAGGTGCCGACTGGCTCACACTGGCCACGTTTGTGTCCAGCCCTGCAGCCTTAATCTTTGTATTCATGCCCGTCAGTGTGAAAGAAGCTGTTTGCATATATTTGCATATATATTTGCATGTATATGCAACCACACTTAAGTTATGGCCCTTGGCGTGTGCTGTGAGTATCATCGTGGCCCCTGGTGCTTCCAAAGTTGAGTAGCCTTGTTGTATAATATTGACACTTTGGCAGCACTGAAAATCCAAGAGTAATTTGGCATTTTCCAAAAGCACATAATTCAGATTGAGAAAAGTAAAATCAGAACCTTCCAGACAGGCATCTTTTTTATAAGAACCTGTCAACTGAAAGAAACATGTTTATCTCTGACAGAAAAATAAGGACATTTCCCATTTCTACTTTCAGTAGCCCCTAAAAGGAAGGCTAGACACAGTTTGTAGGGCCAAACTACGCTTGCGTAGACGTGCATTTAGCCTTAAAAGATCCTTTACCACCCCTGAGCAGGAAGAGAACTATATTTAAAGGCCAGGCGGTATTAGTTTAGCTGCGCAGAATGTTGTGTTAACAGATTATAAGATCTTGTAATCCTTATTGGAAATCCTGACTTCGCGTGTAACAAAATACTTGTGTAACCCCCATTATGCTATAACTTTTGAAATGCTGGGATAGTGCTGAATGTTTTATAGAGTCAGATACAAAGACGAAACCATGATGCTTGTTTTACTATGTATGTAATAAATTGTTGACACTACTGCTTGGTAAATCAGTATCATTTTAAGCTTGTGAAATTTTAAACACAATTTGTTACCCTTTGCCATGTACCATATTGTTTTACCCCTGAGAGCGTTGACATACATTTTCTTCTTCAATAAGTTAGTAAAATGTAGATATCAATACATTAATCTTATATTATTTTTTCTTCCTTTTTTCAGCGGAGCCCCTGCCTTTAATGGACTTGTGCCGAAGATCAATTCGCTTTGCTCTTGGCAGAGATCGCCTGCATGACATCGAATCTCTACCTTTGCCCCAGTCTCTGAAAAATTATTTACAGTATCAATAAGAAACCTTAGAACCCTTTTTCTGGCTCCATGTTGGACTAAATCAATGCAAATGGCAGAAAGTATTGTTTACATCAAAATAGAAATATTTGTGGTGGACCCTTGAGTGTTATTTAATTTTTAATGTATGTGGGGGCTTTTTCTGAATCAATTGAAGCAGAACAATATGGTGTGAACTAGAGAACGCAGAAATCAGTTTGATCTATATTCACAAATTATCTGTTGCCTAGAGAACAGTATTTAGGATTGGGTTCTCCTGGTCAGATCCTTAGCTGGCATTTACTGGCTTAGTTCCACTGACTTCCAGTTAACATCAGCTGAAAATCTGGCTCTCAAGAATTATCCAGAAGTGCATCCTTTGAATAATGTGTCCACTAGAGAAAGAAATAACACTGTGTTAAGTTAACAATAATATCTAAATCTTAAGACTTGATGTTCAAAGGTGCTGAGTTATTATCACAAGTTTATCTGGCCCTTAATGTGTTAAAGGACCTATCATGTTTAACATCTAGATAATGATTTATTTTATATAACACCATTGCTGGATTTAAAGAAAAATTGTTACTGAAGAGTGGAAAATCAATTACATTTGATGCAATCCAGTGTTTTCAAGACCAAATCTCATTCCTCCATAGTTCTGCGTAGTTTATAACAGAGCTGTTCACTGTCTTGAGATTTTAGGATATTCACATTTTGAGAAGGTTACTTTTTTATTTGAACAAATTTATTATTTTTATGTCATACCAACTCTAAATACTTTTGTTCTCTTTTTAATGTATGTGTGATACATTGTTTATTTATCTGTTCAACATCCTCATTTAATTGTTTTCCATCTTGGAAGGACTGGTTTACTTTTGTCCCCCCACCCACCAAGATGTATTCCTTTTTCAGGCTCAACCTGTTTTAAAGATGCTGCTTTCTATTTGCATTTCTTAAGTTTCAAGTTATTTGCCTGATCAGTTATCTAGTTTTTAAACTGGAAGTTGTTGTAATGGCAGAATATCAACTGATGAGACCTAACTGCCTTCAGCATATTTTAATGTGAATTTACTGATGAATGAGGACAACATTTCTAATAAAGTCTACTGCCCAAAATTAAACAAGTATCTCCTTTCTCAAACTATCTGATATACTTAAGAGAAGCAATATATTTAGAACTGAAGTTCAATTCCTTTAGCACTTACGCTGCTGCTTTGGCATTTCTATGGCCGTGGTGTGTGTGTGTGTGGGGTATAAGGGATGAGGGACCCATCTTCCTTAGCAGTGCCAGTGCCCTGTTCCTGACCTGTACTAGTCCTGTAGATTTGTCAGCACTTACACCAACTATGTACTATACAGTAATTCCTCGCTTAACACGTTTTCACGATAGCACGATTTTGGGGGTGGGGAGCATTTTTCAAACAACACGACTGTCCCCACAATAACACAATTTCCTGGGGAGCATTTTTCAAACAACACGACTGTCCCCATAATAACACAATTTCCCCAACCGGCTGTCTGGTCGCCGGCAGCTGCGCGGGCTTTCCCTGCCTCCCTGCAAAAGCAGCAGAGGTTTGCCGCTCGCTGCACCATTCCCCAGCGACCTCCTCTGGCCGGATGCCTCGCTCCCTCTCCCTCTGCACCCTGCTTGCAGCCAGGTTTCCCCATCTGGCTGGTCGCCGGCAGCTGTGCGGGCTTCCCTTGCAAAGTGGCGGCGGTTCACTGCACGCCGCGCTGTTCCCTGGTGACCCCTCCTCGCCAGACGCAAGGAGACAGAGGAAGCCCTTATACAGCACTCAAGAATATCTCAGGTGAGTGTAACTGCTGCTAGGCAGATTTGAACTTGGGACCTCAGGGGATGAGCTTCTACAGCTTGAGCTATAAAGCCAGATGGCTCTCCGCTTAGGCTGTAGAGCTCCCTTGTTCTTATCACTCACTGTAAGTGGTCTCTGTGGTACTATACGGGACAGTGAACCTCTCTAGAGATCCATCTACACTGTTTGGTTTTTGTGGACGAGGAAATGAAGTGCTCATTTGCAAATCTCATGCTCTCCTTTGCATATTCTCTTCTGATCCTTTTTGCGGAAGAGATTTTTTGGGGGGGAAAATGCATATTCTCTTCTGATCCTTTTTGTGGAAGAGGTTTTTTTGGGGGGGAAGCACAGTGTAGATGAGGCCATTGGAGGGAGGGGAACCCTTTTGTGCAAGATCCCTTATTCCTCAAAAAATGAGGTTTACAGAAACTTGCGCAAAAGGTTTTTTTTTCTGAAAAATAGCCCCGTCTGTGCAAATCAGAGTGCAAGATTTGCAAATGAGTGCTTCATTTGCATTTCCTATTCCACAAAACACAGTGCAGACGAAGCTTTGGTATGTGGGTTACATAAGCACTTCAGAAACTCAATGCTTTCTCCTTTAGCCCCGTTGTTCACATTCCATTTAATGACTGTGCCAAAGGACAACAGTTGCATTTGAGATGTTATCTTTCAATACCCTTCTTTACCATGACCCATGCTTGTATATTATTTTTGTCAGTGCAATAGCATGTAAGAGACATACATTAATGTCCATTGGGAGCAGAACTGAAACAAATCCATAGTAAATCTCTCCTTACATGCTGTCCATTAACCCAGTTATTGTACAGCTTGATTTGGACTTTCAGTAGGGAAATACTCAATTTTACTATTCCCACAAATTGTTAGAAGGAAAAGTTAATCATGGGGACATTACAACAGCACACGTCAAAAAGTAGATTTGATTGAAAACGTCCACTTAGTGTGCAGCAGCAGTCAAAAAAGCAAATAGGATGTTAGGAATCATTTAAAAAGAGATAGAGAAGAAGACAGAAAATATCTTAATGCCTCTATATAAAACTATGATACAACCACATCTTGAATACTGCTACAGATGTACTGCGTCAGATGCATCTGACAAAGTGGGTCTTTGCCCACAAAAGCTTATGCTCCTACACTTCAGTTAGTCTATAAGGTGCCACAGGACTCCTCGCCGCTTTTGCAGATTCAGACTAACACGGCTACCCCTCTGATACTTGCTACAGATATGGTCGCCTCAGCTCAAAAAAAGATATATTGGCACTGGAAAAAGTTCAGAAAAGGACAACAAAAATGATTAGGGGTTTGGAACAGGTCCCATATGAAGAGAGATTAAAAAGACTTGGACGTTTCAGCTTAGAAAAGAGGAGACTAAGGGGGGATATGATAGAGGTCTATAAAATCATGACTGGTGTAGAAAAAGTGAATAAGGAAAAGTGATTTATTTATTCCCACAATGAAAGAACTAGGGGTCACCAAATGATTTAGTTGGAATTGATCCTGCCTAGAGCAGGGGGCTGGACTTGATGACCTTCTGAGGTCTCTTCCAGTTCTGCAGGACAATGTAGCACTTTAAAGACTAACAAGATGGTTTATTAGATGATGAGCTTTCGTGGACCAGACCCACTTCCTCAGATCAAAAGGTTTTGATCTGAGGAAGTGGGTCTGGCCCACGAAAGCTCATCATCTAATAAACCATCTTGTTAGTCTTTAAAGTGCTACATTGTCCTGCATTTTGCTTCAGCTACCCCAGACTAACACGGCTACATTTCTATCACTATTCTTCTAGTTCTATGATTCTATGATCTATGATTCTATGAATGAAATTAATAGATAGCAGGTTTAAAACAAACAAAAGGAAGTTTTTCTTCACTCAGCACACAGTCAACTTTTGGAACGCCTTGCCAGAGGATGTGGTGAAGGCTAGGACTTTAACAGGGTCCAAAAAAGTGCTAGATAGATTCATGGAGGTTAGGTCCATCAATGGCTATTAGCCAGCATGGGTAGGATTGGTTTCCCTAGCCTCTGTTTCTCTGGAGTTGGGTGACAGGGGAGGGATCATGTGAGGATTACCTGTTCTGTTCCATTCCTCTGAGGCATCTGGTATTGGCCACTGTCGGCAGACAGGCGACTGAGCTGGATGGACCATTGGTCTGACCCAGTATGGCTATTTTTATGTTCTTATTGTGTAAAAATCCCACACTGATTTCAATATATGATTTTCCCATGCAGTGCAGCCTTTTGCCTTGTACTCATTTGGCATAGCCTCTTCTGCTCTTATTCAACCTTTGGGCTCTGAACTCAGAGAACTTCCCAGGCTATCTGCTGCAGGAGACTTAGGTAGCTTTTGAGGTCTCTTCCCTGTAGCAGATTAATGAATGTGCAGTACTTCCACCTGTCATCACACTGTAAAAAAACAAGCTTTTGTCCACTTACAGGAAACTTACAGGAAACCAGAGCAACCCATTCATTGTTCTTAGACTCTTAAGAAGCCAGAAACACTCTCCTGTTCGAGTAAATGGAAGAGGAGCCGTCACTATGAATTATGTGAACAGTGAGATTTTGTTTAAAAACTGTTTGAACATCACTAGTACCAAAAAAAGATAGAAAACCTTGCAATCCACCATCTCTCAACCTAAAACCAGTCAATGGAATCACCTTGCAGACAGACTAGTTCTTTGAATGTGCATCAGCGTGGATTCTGCTTCACGTGCAGTGCAGTGTTGGAGTTCTTTGTACTGTGCTGTACCATATGCACCCGTGCTGCCCCTTGCTGCAATGTAAAGGTGAAAAGGACAGAGCTGCTGCAGACCTCACTCAGTTCCTTTGTACAGGGCAGTGAGATGGAACCCAGACAGTGCACTGATGGTTGATTACCGGCGACTGAAACTGCTTCCTGTAAGTCCAGGAAATACTGATACAGAGCAAGAGAAACATCGTAATCCTCTGAATGGAAGAGGTGCTTGAAATGGGCAGACCCACGTAGACTGGACCCATTCCTTATCTCAATACTAAAGATTGTTTACTAATTGCTTACGGGCTAGTGCACATTTACCCAGGCATTTACTCCCGCCTGAGACCTCAACATACTCATGAAGCCATCATCTGAGCTTCCTTCAGAATAATTTGTACATTACTCCTCCAGTGTCCAGCAATGTTTCCACTAATCTTTTCCATCTACATGCAGAATAAATTGTATGTGCACCGAAGCATGTGTGAATATGTAATACAAGTAGAAACAAAAATCCTATCTGTGGGCATGCTGCTAATCAGCTGGGAAGCATTTGAATCTCTCCTGAGTGACCGCACAGTTTACAGGGAACATTGGAGTCAGGTTCCCAGGCAATGTCTACTCTACAGGGTTTTTCCTTGTCCAGGGAATGTGTCTGCTCTTCCGCTTTTTTTGCAGAAGAGCAGACACGCTCTTTCAGGAACCCTATCTTCCTCCTCCCACGAGGAAGAAGGGCTTGTCCGAAAGAGGAGACTTTTCCGTAATTTGGCCCAGTGTAAACGGCCCAGTGGCAGGACAGGAAGGCATTGAGATGCTTATAGCTGAATCACCTTACGCAGTATTCCAAAGCTACACTCATCTCTATGAGAAAGGAATTGCTCGTGTTTAAAGGCAGTCAGAACTTGGCTTTATTTCATTGACAAGACCAAACCATCCATTTAGCAACATCCAGATTTTATAAAGGTCAGGACATTTCATCACAAAGACCATTAAGAGGGAAGGGTCATGAGTACTTCTCACAGTTGTAAAGAATCAGTAAGTAAGTGTGTTACAATTCTCTTCTCATCCCTGTCCAACTGAATATCGCTAAATTAACGTGCTCTCACAACACTCCGCTGCAATCCTTATTCAAGTGCACATAGAATTCCCACTGCAGTCAATGGGAGGCATGTCTGGGTCAGCACTGCAGATTATGGTTCCCATGTAAATTTAGCTCTCTGAACATTTCCAAACCACTGATTGGCATAGTACAGATTGGTACAGCAGAAGCTTTTCTGCTGCCAAGTGAAGTTAGGTAAAGACTGAGAAGGTTAAGCCACAAAATGTTTCTATTTCAAACTGAGTAGATATATAAGAGAGTTAAAATACATGGCTCCTCAATGGCAATTTAAAAAATCTGATTTTGTAAACCTTTAAAAACATGACCGAGAAATTTTAATTGAAAATACGTGAATTTAGGAACTTTTATTTGAATTCCTCTATCCTGCTTATCGGAATGCCCAATAATTGAAATATCAAAATCCCTCCCCTTTTTTAAAACATTGGTGTTGCAGAGGAATGATGAAGAGATGCAAAAGTACTGGTAAGAGGAACTTGTCCCTAAGCAAACTCTTTTTGGATGTGTCTGCACAGCACCCTGAACTTGAAATAAGATCATTTGTGCTGCGCGAATTGCGTATCTTATCTCACATCTATTCAAAATAGCTTATTTTGAAATTTGGCACATCTACACAATGCCAAATTTCAAAGTAATGCACTATTTCAAGCCATCCCTTATCCGTCATCCAACAAGGTTTACCAGGATGGC